GGAAAGACAGCTCTTAATTGCTTTTTATTTATAATAAGTAACCATTTAAGATATGATTTAGTTTTTACCAGTGCAGCCTGTGCAGATTTTAAAGATCTGCATTAAAAAAATAGCTTTCAGGTATTAGGTGATGGTCATTTATGGAAGAAACTTTTCAAAACTCATTTTCTTCCAGATTTAGTCCTGCACATACCGCACAAATGGCAGTGAACTGTTTATCACAGCAGAAGAGCCAGAATGGCTGATCAGTATTCACCTTTGTAACCAGATAGGCTAATTTGCAGCATAATGATGTCATCACATAAAAAGCTTACTTTAGAGTTGTTGCTCTGTGATTCCTCTTGTCTCTCCCTTCCCAGTGTCTGGCATTACAAGTACCCTCAGTTTTTGTTGAAGCTGCACGGATATCTAGGAGAATACTCTTAGTAATAGCTTTCATCAATTGCTAAAACAATGTCTTCATTACAGCTGCAGAACAGTTGGCAAATTTTGCCATCAAGTGTCTGAACACCCACATTTTTCTATTGCATTTGATATTTTAAGAATGATTCTGTTGTGTCTTAATTGTGATTAAGAACTGAAAGAATCAATGCAGTTAATAGCGTATGTTGATTCATTATTCATTTTTAATGGCTTTGTTCCACAATTGTGCTTCTTTAAGTTCCTTTTTACTATTTCAGATTTGCCTTATGGAAATCTAGCATGACTCTCATTTTAAAACAATTGAAATAGTGTGCATAATGAGGCCCTATGAAGATCTTCAGTCTGATTGTAGATAGTCTTCAGGCTCTAATAGAGGTTGTGCTTGTGCTGTGGTTTATTTTCAATGTGATGGGCAAGATTCTAGACTCTAAGTGTCTTCATAAAACTGAGAATTTAATAATGAAGACCTCTCATTTTCTCAGGTTTGGTCATGATTGTCCAGCTACTTTTAAAAATTACTTTAAGGGAGGAGGTAGGGGAGAATAATGAAAATACATGTTGACAGCATTAATGCATAAGCCTTAGTTTCCTGAAGAAATCAGGCAATAATACGACTGATGAGGGGAAAAAGGGCATTGAAGCATGGAAATTGTGTTCCTTAGAGATTAGAGCACTTTCGGTGCTGTGGCACTCTTGTAGTGTTTAGCAAACGCTACCAAATCAGTGTCACCCATGGATAAAATAATGTACTTGGGCTTCAAGGTGCTTTGTTTAATTGTCCACTACCACTGAAACAATGGGACTTCATCAGGCAACATGAAGTTGTCGTGAGGATTGCTGAAAGATGACAAAGCTAAACTTGATGAGAAGGGAAAAAATTGTCCAGAATAAGTATGTTGAAATTCAAATATAATATGAAATGGCTGGAAGAAAATGCTTTGTGAAATTCTCTTGAAGTCATGTTTTGAATATACTCTGGATACGGTTAACAAGTGGATCAGCTTCTGCCTAATGCAGAGTCGTCAGTGTCTAGATTCTGTGGTAATCAGAATGACAAACTGAGAAACTCTGAGGGGAGAGCTGATTAGAAGAGTTGCAGATAAGTAAGAAGATGAGATTGAATATTACAAAGCTGTCTTGAGCCCTATTTTTCATTGGAATGCACGGTGGGTTTTTTGTTCTGCAAACTGTAAGTCTTGTAACTTCTGTCTTGAACTAATTTCTTGGTTCTTTCATTTGGCTCTGCTGTACGTAATTCTTGAACATGAAGTCAAGTTTCGTGGAGTTTCCTACTATTAACTGTAGCACTTAAATAATCTGATTTCTTGAGGACCATTTGGAGATATGTAATGCCAAGGATGTTACTTGAAAAAATCTCGAGAGTTGCAGCATAAAGAGAAGGTGGTTGTTATGTCATACCTGAGTTCATGTATAAGCTTGACTTAGTTGACATTACATTTACATAGTAGCTTAATTTTATTTTTTGAGAGATTTTATTCAGAGAATTTGCCTCATTTTAATGTAGAATTGTAGTAAGTCCTGTATTGAGTGAGTTGTCAGAAGTAAATGTTGGGTCTTCTCACTTATGAATAATTAGAAAGCTTCCCTTTGTTTCTGATGTTTATAATGCATATAATATTCCAACTCCTTTGATTCTTAAGAAATTATATTTATTTTCTCTTTGTGTAGGAATTACTCCATGATTTGCATAAAAATCAATCAATCCAGTGAGATGTACTGGAAAAATCATTCTTCAGAGTCCCACAGCCAAAGTTATCTCTGTTTTGCTGTATTGCCATTAAGATTTGATTTGACTTTAGCCTTAGAAACTTGGATTTGAAGTGATTGCTCTTCACGTTTACATTTTGGTCTTGTAGCTACTGAATGCATGTTTTGACTATCTAAGACTTTGTGGGTTATACTCAAAGTCAGACTTAAGTTTTGTGTTTGACAAGGATTAGGTTTTTTGTATTGCACATTACTTGAAAGATACTTCTCTTCAGAAACAGCAAGTTGTAGCATCTTGTTCTAAGGTTTAATTAAAAATGAGGTTATGTTTACTCAGCACATGGTGGAGTTAATTATAGATTTACTAAAATGAAAGGCTTAATGTTTTGCCAAGTCAAGAGCAAAAGCTAAGTAATTAAACAAAGAATAGGGTATGGTGTATGATCCCAGCCCATCTTTTGGCAAAGTTCCCTTAAAGAAGGGGGAAAAACTCTCTATCAGCAGTTGTCTTTACATGTGGTAGACCGTTTCCTTTTGTATTTGTAGTCGGGGAACTTTAAAAACCAAGAACTGAGTGCATTGATCAGGCAAAAAAATCAAAATGCAATCAAATAACACTAAACTTCATGTAAAGTGCGTGTTTCTTATTTCTCTGAAGTTAAAGTGTGGCTGACTGGGTAGCACCAGCAGTTGCTGAAGGGGGGCACAGCGTCTCCACAGGAGGCAAAGAGAGGTTTAGCAAATGCCCTTTCTTCCCTATAAGAGATGTGTAGCTTCAATTTCAAA